GGCATGGGTATGAATATAAATGTTAATATGAATGTGAATGTGGCCGCACCTCGATGTGAGGTTGTCTACGTATCCGTTAGGAATCAGCAAACGTAGCTCTAGCCGAACTTTGCACAAGTTATGTACTCCTCAAAGAGGTCTTTCAAGGAATGTAATGTTGTTAATTTAATAGTATAAAGAAGAAAAGGGTAAAAGGTTCAAGACCCGAGAGAATCCTTAAGACGTGTAATTGTGAAATTGAAAATTTTGAACTTTGCAAGTTTTATTTTCATTTTTTTTTGTTTTGAATTTCATTTTTTTTTATTCTTTTGAATCAATGTAGGCAATATCAGATCATGCGGTCCATCACTCACTTAGCATTCATGTTTCTTAGGCACGGTACCAAGCACTCGATGAGAGACGCAATTTGAGAAGTGTTCATATCAATGACATTGGAACACTTGCCTTTAGACATTGTTTAATTGTTACTTTGCTGCTTCTTTTTTACTTGATTTTTGAATGTTATACCATTACACACCTTCCCATCATAGGATTAAGTGAATGTGGGTTGAATAAAAAATTTCAATCATTAGACGAGGCTCAAAGTGGTTGATGAAGAAATGGATCTGTGATTAAGTGGTTAATGGGGAATGAATGGGTTGCAAAGGTACCTCAAATCATTGGTATACCTAGTGTTCGGTATGACAATATTTTTATTTTTTTTGGTAATCACATGATCGAATGTAAGAAAGTGATGCTCGTTTATGAAAAAGGTAAGAAATGTGACACATAGACACATGGATAAGGAGAATCTATGCTAGACTTTTTAGGGGGAAGGGTTTGAAACAAATGAAGAAGAAAACATGAAATCTTGGTGAGAAGCTTGCGTCGTGCTTTGTCTTCATGGAAGTTTATGAGTTCGTTCTAGCTGCTTGCTGAGGAAAATAGTTTCTTGTTGTTGATGCTGTGATTGGAGGGAAAGAAGAAAGGAGTGACGTTCCCCTTATTCTTCCAACTATTGCCTAGTTATTTTAGACTCAAGTACTGTGTAAGGAAGAACTCACTTAATGCATTCACACAATACTCGGATTGAAAAGGAAGAGTGTATGAAACGATTTTGAAAACTGATGGGAAATACTCCACTAATTCCTATTACGACGGTAAACGATGCATGCATGGTCCTAGTATACGATCATAAACAATATAGTGCATTACTCGAAGACAAAGTATGTGCAATGACTCAACATGTGTATTAGGTGATTTTATTAATACTCATGGTATAATCGCATAGCTAGATATGAGGACGTTGTGAAAAACAAAGGACCCAATGACCAAATAGAACGGAAGACTAAAAGATAAACAAACTTCATCAATTTTGTCCAATTTTAATGTTTATGCTATTTACTAGGTGAAAACAGTCCATTGGAAATCGTTAGTCATAAACAAGATCAACCACAATCAAAGACAAAGAACACATGTTATGCTTAGCACAAAAATCGATTACAAGAAACTAGGAAGAGGACTAGAATTCTAGAAGAGTTAACAATCATGGGTATAAAAAAAAATTAACAAAAAAAAACTATAATCCTATATTATATGATTTGGCAAGGATTAAAGGACTTGGCTAAGACTAGCTTGACACGAAAAGATTTAAAAAAATTAAAAAAAAAGAAGAAAGTTGACGCTAAAAAGACACCTAAACTGGACAGGTTGTAGTATATCGGTTATACCTTTTGATCTATGACTCTGATTGGGATGAAACCAATTTTAAATGAAAGATAAAACTCGGGGCTACAGATCCATAGGTGGAACAACACGTAATTTTTTCTAGAAATCTAAATATGACCAAAACAATTTGACTCTTTTGCAGGTATCGACGTATACATAGTGATTTAGGATCGCAGAACGTCTTAAATCATTCTCCGTCCCTATCGGCTACTTTGACTATCGTTCTCGAAACTGACGTTTCTACAAACTCAGTCAAAGTAGGGGCTTCTGTAGACACCTAAAAATGTCTCCCCATAACCAAACCCGATGATGAACAACCTTTCACCGCCACTATTGGTCGGGTTTAGTATTTAATCCCGAGAGTGCTTAAAAAATCATATTTTATTAAATTCATATTTTTGAACAGTCCATGGATTAGTCTTGATGTTTGGTAAAAGCATAGTTTTAATTTCAGCCCAAACTTATTAATTAATTTTATGCCCAAACCTCTTTTATTTTATTGTTTTATTATTTATTTTTGGCCCAAACCCTTTATTTATTTTTATTTAATTATTTTCTTATTTTAGCCCGAAATTATCAATCAGCACTTAAAATGCCGAAGGAAATTAGGGTTAAAAATGTATTTAGACGGAAAAACGGGCTGGAATTTCCCGCGCCATGGCTGGTACCTACCGTGTCACGGGAATCTTTCCCGTCTGACGGTGGAATTTCCCGTGACACGGGAGGTCTGCTGTGACACGGGACATTCCGTATCTTTTTCGCGTAAACCCTTAACGCGTTTTTTTATCCTGTTTTCTGAAAATTTCTCGCGTCACTAAAAATTGTTCCGTGTCACGGGAAAGTGTACCGTCTGACGGAGGGACTTCCCGTGTCACGGTATACTTTGACCGTGTCACGGTTGCTTTTTTAGGGTTTTTATCATTTTAGGGTTCCGTGTGCTCCCTCAGCACATTTTCCCTATAAATACCCCCTCATTTCTAATGAACGGGGCACCGAATAATTCTCTAATTTTATTTTCTCTCTTCTATGCTTTAGCCTAAACACTAGCCTACCCTTTTCACTTCAAAATTCCTTGAGCCAAAGCGTGAAAGGTAGAATTGTTTGAGGGTTTGGCCTCAAAATCAACTATACTTTATTTAATTTAATTTAATTATTGTTTATTTGTTTCCTTGAAGTCACTAACTCGTTTATTATTTTGTAGTTGCAAACAAACAGAATCAAAGTAAGGATCATGCTCCTTTTATTTTTATTATTTTTCTAACGATTTTATGTTGTTGGAATTGTGATTAAATTGGTATTAATATTAATGTTGTTCTGTTATTATTTATTGATCACCATATTGCATGTTTAAAGGGAATGTGTAATTGAAAATCACGCCTAATAAGATAATTTGGACAACCGGTTTAGGATCCCATTAATCTTATTATTAATTGAAGTGATCACCAATATTTTAAAATTATGTGTGCATTAATCTTAAACAAATTTAGTTAAATAATAGTTTGGAGTGAATTGAATTATTGTTTGTATGCCTTTGAGATCACAGGAGTGCTTTTCAATATAAGAATCGAGTAGAGGCCAATAAGGGCGAATGTGACTCCATGACTCACTTCGTACCATCATCCATGATCCTTCTTTCGTGGTTCCGAACCATATGGAGTTAGTAATCTCATGGATTATGAATGGGGTGTAACCTTCACGGGTCAATCGTTGTTGCCTATCGTTGTCCCTTATTCGTGGTTGCCTTTCATGATCCGTGAACGGTTTACAAGTTCCTTAAAAACTTGTTGGCGGCTCCCTACTTTCCTTGTCCCTAATCGTATTATGTCAATTCCCACTTCCTATAAGTTCCAAGCATATTCACCACATGCTTTTAACGTAGGCGCACTTCGAGCGACACCTACAGTTAGGCTTACAATTTGTTTCTTCATTGATGTTGCTTCAAATACATAAATCTACATATTTCTTCACAAACACTTATCACCCAAGAGGCTCTTAGAAAGCGTCAATTATATCATCGTCCATCCTAGGGTCTCTTTACGGGGTGATCAGAGGACATACCGTTCAAAGACATGCCTAAAAATGAGACCATAACCAGAAAAATGGCATCTTCACCGTGCTAGAAAACTTTTTTCGCAATTTCGGTGCGCCAAAGCATCAAAGTTTTCCATGATTGCATATCTAGAAGGGGATCATTAACCCTAAGGGGTGTCAGACACATCATCGCTGACAAGGGAATAAACGCGTCGTCAATTGTCTATCCTTATATTAAATACAATTTATACAACCTAAACAAACGTAATACGAGTATATGGCAAGCATAGGGGTCGAACCACAGGGAACGGTGAAACACCACAAAATGTTATCGACAATTAAACTAGTCCGGAATAGGAGATAAATAAACTAAAGTCTAAAGATGCTAAAATAAGAAATAAAACACTAAGAGAAATGGTTTAGGTATATTATTCACTTGAACATAAATAAAGGCATATAAATTGAATTAATTATGAACTAAACATGCTCGATTATCGAAATAAAGGATCCAATCTAGCCACCTTCCGGGCCAATTGGCTTCTCCTAACATAGCCTCTATGCTTCCACATTAGAACCATATACTAGGAGGTGGTATCAAATAACGATCGATACAAATGAACTTAGCTAAGTAAACTTCCGTTTCATATTAGCAAAGATTCACTCCCAATCAACTAGCAACATGCATTTTGCAAGTAAAATGAAGAATAGCAAACATATAGAGACTTTAGTCACAAATAAATCAATTCCAAACCCTAGAACATGCTCAAGGTCCAACTACACCATAACCATCCCCTTAATGGGGAAATTACTCTCTAATCATGATAATAACAAGATTAATTAACAAATAATCAAAAATAAAAATGATTAATAAGCAATAATAACAAGTAAAACAATAATCAAAAGAAAACAAATAAAATATAAGAGAGAGTGTTAGAGATTCTCATTGATTGAAGATGAAAGTCTACAAACTAGATGACCAATCTTCTTCTTAAAAATCCAAGCTCAACAATGGTGAAACCCTCACTTTCTCTCTCTAAACTACTCTAATCCTAACCTAAACCTAGAGAGAGAATCTCTTCTAAAACTAATTAAGAAAAATAAAATAATTGGTATTTTTTAATTACCCCAAAAATGGGTATTTATACTAAGCTAAGAAAATAGAAAAATAAAGGAAGGAAATTAATAAAGAAAAGGAATAAAAGAATTAAGAAAAGGAAAATAAAATAAATAAAATAAAACAAAAGAAATTAAATTAAAAAGAAAAAGAAATTAAATAATAAAACCCACAAACCCCCCGAAAAACCATCAGACTCTCTTTGTTTTTCTTCTTCGATTTCTAGCTGCACTTGAGATAGGAAATAATCCCATGCTTTGCATCCCATTAAACACCATCATCAAATCGTCACCGCTCATCCGCTACATTTATCATCAAGTATCAAATCAAAACTGTTTAATGTTCATTAAGAATCACGAGCAGAGCTCGTGAAGTGGTTTGGTCGAACCATGGGTTGGTGTGGCCGAACTACGGGTGTGTTTGATCGAACCATGGGTGTGTTCGACCACACCTCTTCAATTTAGAAAACTTCAAATGTTTCTGACTCTATTAGCACTTCGACCGAACTCCTCAATGGTTTGCCCGAACCCAATAAATTTGCGATATGCTCTGATTATGGTCGTTGCTTGCGCAAATTTGTGGTTAGATGTGGCGCAATTGCTGCTGGTGGTGATCGTTGTGAAGGTTGAAAGTCTTTGCTGTAATTTAGGGGCAACGAGAAGAGAGATGGGGTGGATTGGGTTTGCGCTACTTATGCCTGGAGACGGTTCGAATTATGGTGGCTGCAGCTGTGGTTGGAGTCGTGGTTTGGTGAGGTGCGGCAGGTTGGATATGCTGCTAATGTGGCTGAAGTGAGAGTAGGGGAGTTTGGTGAGGGAGTGGCTGCAAGGTGTAGCGGCTTTGTTCGGTTTGAATGGCTGAATTGATGCGCCAAGGTGATTACAGGTGTTGTTGATGCGTGAGTGAAGGATGAGAAGTGGTTGTGAGATGTGGGGGTCTAGTTGTGGTCGTGTGAGGTGGTGAAAGCAGTTGGTAATGTTGATTGGTGTATTGGAGGTGAGTGGTGTTGTGAGGGGGCGCAACAGCTTGGTGAATTGGAGCAGGGGATAATTGGGGTGTTGTGGTGATGATTAAGGGATAGTGTGGTGGTGGATAATAGTGGCATCAAGGTGGGAGTTCGAAGAAGGTTAGCTGAGAAGATAGGGGAGAAGGGGAGTTTGGTGAGGCTTATGTAGCAATTGAAAAGGCTCAGTTTGGACCTTGAACTTGAACCTACACATAAACAAAACCCAGAGAGTGAAACCGTGCTAAATAAAATAAAATAAAATAGAAATAAATAAAGTAAAATAGAAATAAGAGAAATAAAACTAAAACTAATAAAAATATAAAACTATACAAGTAAATAAAATAAAATAAAAAACAAAATAAACATAAAACTAAAAATCATGAAAATAACTAAAACGTGCCAAATAACGAAATAAACTAGAAAATTTATTAAGTAGAAAACAAGAGAATAAAAGGGGAAAATAAGAGAAACCGAGCACAAAAATGACTCCAAAACTACTCCTTAAGAATGACATAAATGTCACTCATCAATTGCCCATTAGCCCTAAGGGTCGTGAAACACATCATCGCCCATCTAAAGGGCTCATTAGCCTGAAGGGGCACCAAACATATATTGCCCTCCCGCCCAAAGGGACTTGGCCGCACCAAAGGGCGTCAAACAGAACAAGAAAAACAAGTATACAATAGTTAGCCTTACAATTTGTTTCTTCATTGATGTTGCTTCAAATACATAAATCCACATGTTTCTTCTCAGAAACTTGTCACCCAGGAGGCTCTTAGAAAGCGTCAATTATATCATAACACATCCTACAGGCTCATTATGGCCTGGGGTGATCCGAGGACGTATCGTTCAAACACATGCCTAAAAATGATACCATAATAAAAAAAAAATTGGCATTTTCACCATGCTAGAGGACTTTTTTTGCAATTTAAGTGGGCCAAAGCATCAAAGTTTTCCATGATCGCCTATCTAGAAGGGGATCATTATCCCTAAGGGGTGTCAGACACATCATCGCCCATCCAAGGGGCTCATTAGCCATAAGGGACGTGAGACACATTATCGCCCATCCAAGGGGCTCATTAGCCCTAAGGGGCGTTGTAGGCGTCGTTCGAAGTGCGCCTACGTTAAAAGCATGTTGTGAATATGCTTGGCATTCATCGGATGTGGGAATTGACATTACGATTAGGGACAAATAAAGTAGGGAGCCGCCAACAAGTTTTTAAGGAACTTGTAAACCGTTCACGGATCATAAAAAGGCAACCACGATAAGGGACAACGATAGGATACAACGATTGACCCCTGAAGGTTACACCCCATTCATAATCCATGAGATTACTAACTCCATATGGTTCGGAACCACGAAAGGAGGATCAGGAATGATGGTACGAAGTGAGTCATGGAGTCACATTCGCCCGTATTGGCCTCTACTCGATTCTTATATTGAAAAGCATTCCTGTGATCTCAAAGGCATACAAACAATAATTCAATTCGCTCCAAACTATTATTTAACTAAATTGGTTTAAAATTAATGCACACATAATTCTAAAAATTTGGTGATCACCTCAATAAATAATAAGATTAAAAGGATCCTAAACCGGTTGTCCAAATTATCTTATTAGGCGTGATTTTCAATTACATATTCCCTTTAAACATGCAATATGGTGATCAATAAAAGTAATAAAATGAATATTAATATAAAAACCAATTTAATCATAATTCCAACAATATAAAAATCGTTAGAAAAATAATAATAATAAAAAGAGCATGATCCTTACTTTGAATCTGTTTGCTTGCAACTTTCACGCCTTGGCTTAAGGACAGAACCTCGAGTAAAATATGGACTCCTTTGAGTGCTTGAAGAAGGAATTTTTGAAGTGAAAAGGGTAGGCTAGTGTTTAGGTTAAGAGCATAGAAGAGAGAAAAATAAGAATAATCGAATTCCGGTTGCCCCGTACATCAGAAATGAGGGGGTATTTATAGGGAAATGTGCTGAGGGAGCACACGGAACCCTAAAATGATAAAAACCCTAAAAACATATCACGTGACACGGTCAGACTGTACCGTGACACGGTCAGTTTTGGAGTGACGCGGGAAATTTTTAGAAAACGGAACGGAAAACGCGTTAAGGGTTTACGCGGAAAGGACACGGAACTCTCCGAGTCACGGCAGACCTCCCGTGTCACGGGATGTCCCACCGTCAGACGGGAACAGTTCCCGTGACACGGTCAAGCTGTACCGTGACACGGTCAATTCCAGTCCATTTTTCCGTCTAAATTCATTTTTAACCCTAATTTCTTTCGGCTTTTTAATTGCCAATTGATAATTTTGGGCTTTTTTTCTGACTCTATTATTCGGGCTAAAATAAAATAATAAAAATAAAAATAAATAAAATATTTGGGCCAAAAAAAAAATAAAATAATAAAATAAAAAGGTTTGGGTTTAACATTAATTAAAACTATGCTTTTACCAAACACCAAGACTGATCATAGACCTTTCAAAAATATGAATTTAATAAAATAAGACTTTTTAAGCACTCTCGGGATTAGATTCTAAACCCGACCAATTGTGGCGGTGAAAGGTTATTTATCATCGGGTTTGGTTTTGGGGAGACATTTTTAGGTGTCTACAGGCGTCAGGCACATGATCGCCCATCCAAGGGGCTCATTAGCACGAATGGACACCATACATATATGACCCCCCCCCCCCTCAACGGGGTCTGCCGCCCTTAAGGGCGTCAAACATGACAATAAATACTAGTATACAATAGTTAGCCATAAATATTTGTTTCTTCATTGATGTTGCTTCAAATACATAAGTATACATGTTTCTTCATGGTCACTTGTCACCCATAAGGCTCTTAGAAAGCGTTAGTTTTATCATCACCCATCATAGGGGCTCATTACCGTTCCAAGACATTCATAAAAATGTGACCGTAATAAGAGAAATGGCATTTTCACCATGCTAGAGGCCTTTTTATGCAATTTCGGTGGGCCGAATGCATCAGAGTTTTCCATGATCGCCTATCTAGAAGGTGCTCGTTAACCCTATGGGGTGTTAGACACATCATCGCCATCCAAGGAGCTCATTAGCCCTAAGGGGTGTCAAACACATCATCTCTCATTTAAGGTGCTAAGTATGCCATTCGGATTATGGAATGCTCCCTCTACTTTTCAAAGATGCATGACTTCCATTTTCTCTGAGATGCTTGAAAAAGAAATTGAGGTTTTCATGGATGATTTTAGTGTTGGTGGCTCGTGTTTTGACACTTGTCTTTTTAACCTTGAAAAAGTTTTGAAAAGGTGTCAAGAGACGAGTTTGGTTTTAAATTGGAAAAAGTGACATTTTATGGTCGAGGAGGGCATTGTCCTCGGCCATAAGGTTTCAAAAAATGGCATTGAGGTTGATCCGGCCAAGGTTTTGGTCATTGAAAAGTTGCCCCCTCCTACTTCCATCACGGGGGTACGGGCTTTTCTTGGGCATGCTGGTTTTTACCGGAGGTTTATCAAAGATGTTTCTTCAATCGCCAAACCTTTGACCAAATTACTCAAAAAAGAGGTTTTTTTTTAATTCAATGAGGCTTGCCTTGAGGCGTTTCGTAAGCTCAAGGAAGCTCTCATTTCTTCTCCCGTCGTGCAAGCTCCGGATTGGAGCTTGCCTTTTGAGCTAATGTGCGATGCTAGTGACTTTACAGTAGGTGCTATTCTTGTTCAAAAGAAACAAGGAAAATCATGTGTCATCTACTACGCAAGTAGGACTCTAGCTGAGGCTCAAAATAATTACACAACAACGGAGAAAGAGATGTTAGCGGTAGTATTTGCATTCGATAAGTTTTGGTTCCATCTTATATGCTGAAAAGTTATCGTGTACACGGATCACATCGCGGTGCGATATCTCATGACCAAGAAAGAAGCAAAGCCTCTCTTGATCCGTTGGGTTCTCTCCCTCAAAGAATTTCACATGTAAATGAGGGACGAAAAGGGAGCGGAGAACTATGTAGTAGATCATTTGTCTAGGCTACAATTTGAGAACAAGGAGGATGTACCGATTAATGATGAGATAGGATTCGAGGCTCTCATGGCTTTGGTGTCAATTTCTACCCCTTGGGTTTGTGGATATAGCCAACTATCTTGCGTGTGGAGTCGTTCCCCCAGAATACTCTTCTCAAAAAAAGAAGAAGTTTTTCAAGGAAGTGAGAAGATACTTTTTGAATGACCCATACCTATTCAAGCAATGTGGAGATGGCCTTTATCGGAAGTGTATCCCAGATCATGAAATTCAAGGTGTTCTTGAGCATTGCCACTCACTACCATGTGGAGGGCATGGTGGTGTTGACAAAACAGTGGCAAAAATCTCTCAATATTTATTGTGGTGGCCGAAGATGCATAGGGACGTGCACCAATTTGTTGCGCAATGTGATAGATGTCAAAGGAGCAGAGGCATTACCAAGAGGGACGAAATGCCCCAACAAAGTATTTTAGAAGTTGAACCCTTCGATGTTTGGGGGTGGATTTTATGGGGCCTTTCGTTTCTTCTTGTGGGAATCTATATATCTTGGTAGCGGTCAATTATGTGACGAAATGGATTGAAGCCATACCCTCACCTACCAATGATCACAAGGTTGTGCTTAAGCTTCTAAAGAAGATCATTTTTCCTAGGTTTGGAATTCTGAGGGTGCTAATTAGTGATGGAGGCTCCCATTTCGCCAAAAAGCAATTTGAATCTCTTCTTAAGAGCTATGGCGTTCATCACAAGGTTGGATTATCTAACCACCCTAAAACTCAAGGACAAGTGGAGGTCTCGAATCGTGAAATCAAAAATAATCTTCTTGAAAGGATGGTGAACAAATCAAGGAAAGATTGGTCTCTCAAACTTGATGACACACTATGGGCTCTTAGGACGGCGTACAAGACTCCAATCGGCATCCCCTATAGGTTGGTCTATGGAAAGGCTTGTCACTTCCCGGTTGAGTTTTAATACAAGGCTTGGTGGGCCATCAAATAGCTCAATATGGATTTATCGTTGGCCGGTTGCTCAAGCTCAATGAACATGAAGAGCTTAGAGATGATGATTATGAGAGCTCAATGTTATATAAGGAGAAGACCAAAAAGTGACATGACCAACATATTCGAAACAAGAACTTTAAGGTTGGAGATAAGGTTTTGCTTTTCAACTCAAGGCATTGTTTGTTTCCGAGCAAACTCAAATC